ATGGCCACTGTCACAGCCTGGTCACCTTGCCCTGGGCCCGGCCCTGCCCAGGCACCCAGGAGCGAGGCCAGCAGCAGGGCTGGCCCCAGGGCCCCACCCATGTCCAACGGAGGGTCCTGCGGAAACACCAAGACAGACACAGAGAGAGGCAGACGGACAGACAAACAAGAGATGAGGGCAAGGGTCAGAGGACACATATCCAGAGAGGGACAGAAAAGGGGGGACACCTCCCTCCACAAGGAGAAGTGCAGACAGACAGACACAGAGACAGAGAAGGAAACAGAGGTTAGCTGCGTGTCCCTAAGACACCCGAGGGGAAAGGGATGGGGGAGAATGGGGGCCGGGACAGCAGCTCACCACCCTCCAGCCTACCACTAAACAGTATGCTCAGCAAGAAAGGCCCAGCCTTTGGAAACCCAGCCTCCCAGGCTGTGCCCTAGCAAGGGGCACTGAACATGCCAGCTCGGTGTTCAAGTGCACAGCATGCAAGGTGTGGTGCATGGCATAGTGTTCAAGGTCAGCCAGACCTGAATGCACGTCCCAGATGTGATAGGCCACCTGTGTGCTCCTGAGGCAGTCACCTAGCCCCTCTGAGCCAGGTTTTCTATCCCACAGCAGAGACACTCCCTGCTGTCATCCACAGCCTTTTCCTGTAGGTGACAGCCCCTCAACCAGGTGAAGGAAGGCAGCACTGTGACACCCCCACGCCCCACCCAGCCATCTCTACTGATCTTCCATGTGTCCCTCACCAGAACCTATGCCACACAGCCAACTCCAGGACCCTCCCCTGTGTGGCTCCACTGGGCAGACACTGTCCTGCATCCTCCTGGACACTGGACATCACTGCCCCCCTTCCCGCTGGCTCAGTTAGGAGCAGCTCTCCCCAGCAGCGAGGCAGCGCTGACCTGTCCAGGGCCCGGGGCACCTGAAACCCTGAGCCGCTTCCCAGTCCATCACGGGTACCCGGGATCTTTCTAACCTAATATCAGAGAATAAAATAAATCAAAAGGGCTAGGGAAATGGCTCAGTGTGAGGGCTTTGGGTTCAATCCCCACTACAGGAAGGAGGGAGAGAGAGAGACTAGGACTTGGGCTCGAGTCTCACCAGGTCACCAGGTGTCCCGCAGCCCCTGGCCCAGCCACTCCTTCCCCTGGTCTCCTCCACCTCATCTCCCATCTCCCCCTCCCTCCTGCCCAGCCACCTGTCCCACTGGGCTGCTGAAACGTTCCTCTGCTCCCTGGGCCCCTCCACAAGCAGGACAGCTGCTCTCTGACACTCAGAACGAAGTCCAGACACCGCAGTCCCAGGTACAGGGCCCCCACACTGCCCTGACCTACTGTCTTTTTCATAGACCTCCAGCCCTGCCTGGCCAGGGGCCACACAGGCCCACACCATCACCTGCAGAGCCCGGTTCAGATCTGTCCCCTGGCTCGAGCACTCTTCCCAACAAAATTCTACTGTCCTCTAGAGTCCAACCTAAATCCCTTCCTAGGCTCCCACCCTGACCAGCCCTGGTCCCCCAGTTCCACAGCCCCTTTTCTCTTGCAGGTTGGGAGCTCTGAGCTGGACCCCTGCAGTGACCTCTCCACTGTGCCACGTGGCAGGAAGTTACCCACCAAGATGTCCCCTCCCTCACCCGACTGGACCTCCTTGAGAGCAGCACTGTTGTCTTGGAGCCCCCTGCTCACCCATTCTGGCCTTGTTCCTTTCACCAGTGGCCAGTAAAGAAATGTTGGCTAAATACCCGGGTCCCAAAGACTGGGGAGAGGGTCAAAGTGGTCAGTCCCCAGGGACACTGCATGCTGAAGGGCCTCAGACCTCCACGCGCCTAGGACCCTTCTTTCCCCGGGGTTCCACACATCTCAGGCAGGCTCCCAGGCAGGGATGGCACCACACGCTTGAATGTGGGACGCTGATCGACCCCCTCTCCCAGATCTGGAGCTCTGGTCCCAGGGGCCACCCCTGCCCCTTGGCAACAGAAGCCCGAGCCGAGGGCCTGGACCCACTGCGCTTAGCGAGTGGCCCCTCCTCTGCCGTCGGGTTTTCCTCCCTCCCTCCCTCCCTCTCCCCTGCCCAGCTAAAACCTGAACCCAGGCGCCAGGAGAGACACTGCCTGCCCCTCCATCTTGCCCCACAAGTGGCGGCCCTGAGTTCTAGCTCCTCCAAGACCAACTGCCCCCCTCCCGGCGGATCCCGCTCGGGGCCCCTCCCCTCCGCAGGAATCTCTTACACTCGGGCTGTGAAGTTCGGGGTATTTTTAGGCCGGCGATAAATAATTCATAGGGAACGTGGCATCAGGCTGCCCCTGCAGGAGGAGGGGGCGCGAGCGGCGAAAGCCACCGTCACCCGCGGCTCAAGGACACTCGCGATGCGGCGGCGGCGGCGGCGGCGGCGGCGGCGGCGGCGGCGGCGGCGGCAGAGGCGACTCGGGGTGCGGGGACCCGCGCCACGCCTCCTGGTGGCCAAACTGGGCACCACGCGCTCCGCGCCCCCCGCCTCACCGGAGGCCCCGCCCTTACACACACACACACACACACACACACACACACACACACACGCACGTACGCACGCACACGCGCCCAAGCTGGGTCTCCACCTCCAGCCCCGCGGCGGGATGGCCGAGCTCGCCTGGCAGGAGGCGCTGCAGGCCAAGTCTCAGCCCAGGACACCCTCGTGCCGTGCCGGAGCGAACCCAGGAGTGCAGTTTCCTGCCTACCTGTCCCTTTCGAGCTCTTCTTCTTCCGAGTTTAGAAACAGGCTCAGAGCCACGGCCGCCACGTCCTGGGCCCGCTCCAAGATATATCCAGCGCGAGGGCACCCTGTCCAGATAAGCTCTCCTCGATTTTCCCGCGGCCGGGGGTCTGTGCTCGAGCCAGGACGGGGCCACCATCCGAGGGCTGGGGGCCAGGGTCAGAAGTCCCGGTGGGCGAGCAGGGCTGGGAAACACGGTGGACAAAGGGGACGAGCTTCAGGCCCAGCGGGAATTCGCCCCTCCCCACACAGCAGGAACTTCAAAGGGTCGCCGGGAGCACCCTGGGGGACTTCAGGCTGCAGGGCACCTTTGCTGTCGCCTCCCAGTGCTGCCCACCGAGGCCTTGGCATAAAACGCGCTCGGCAGCAGGAGACGCCGGCCGCTGCTCCCAGCCGTCGGGGATCCTGGTCCAAGCCCAGGAAATCAGGGTGCCCCGCTGGTGCCGCCCCGGGCCCCGGGCCCCGGAGCAGAGGCTCAGGCGTCGCCAGCCCGCCCCGCCCATCCCTCCTCTCCAGCCCTCCGAGCCTGGGTCCCCCGGGGCTTGGAGCAGCCTCTGGAAGACCCCGCCACGCCAGAAGTCCACCTTGATTTCCTGAGGCCAGAGGCGGGATCCTTTTACGAGACTCAGAGAGGAATGGGAGCCGGAGGAGAGGCCCTGGGGGACTCATTGCCGGTGACGGGGGTCGGGGATGGCAGATGCGAGCCGCAGATGCGGAGAGAACACGGCGCCCGGGATCCCGGCGCGCCCACAGCCGCCTTTCGCCCTCTGGCTCCGTGCCCTCTCCATGCCCAGCTCCAGGTCGCGGCCCCCGCCCCGCTCCTCACCCCAGCAGCTTCCTACAGCAACAGTTGAGGGCCCCGGCATCCCAGACTCCCGCGTCCCCCCCTGCCCAGCAGGGTCGCTCAGCCGTGCGAAGGGGACGAGGAGGGCTCGGCGACCCGGGGGACAAACGCCTTGGACGCTTCCCCCGCGTCCTTCCCGCGTGTCCGCCGCGAGTCTGTCTCCCCGGCCTCTCTTCCTCGCCTCCATCAGCCGGGGGCCAAACCCCAGGCCGGGTTCCCAAGGGCCCAGGTCCCCGGGCCGGCCCCTCCCTGGCTCCGTACGCGGGCCAGACTCTCCCCGGGTATCCCGCGTCTGTCTGCGCCGTTCTTTCCTGCGCGGCGCCCCAGCCCAGCCCCAAGTTGGCGACGAAGTCGGCGCTCCCGGATGGCCGAGCGCCCCCAGCCGCACTCACCGGGGGGAAAGGGCTCTGCGCCCGCGTCTGGAGCCCGCGCCCGTAGCCTCCCGCGCGCTGCATGTCCAGGCGCCTCGGCCGGGCGCGCTGGCGCGCTCGCTCCCTGCTCGGCGGGAGCCTGAACCCGACACCGCGGGGCCAGTGCCCGAGCCGCGGCCTGGGTCCCGCCCGCCCCTGCGCCCGGCCCAGGAGCCACCCAGCGCCCCTCTAGGTCCCGGGCTGGGCTGTGCGCCTCCGGCTCTCAGGGCTCGCCAGCCTGTGGCGGAGCGCTCGCCGACGCCTCCGCCCCGCCCCGGCCGGCGGGCCGCCCGCGCCCCTTCAGGCCCCTCCCTGCTGGCCCGAAGGCCGAAGGTCCGGGTACCCTCTCCCGTCTTCAGCATGGTGTCCCCAGAGCCAACACTCAGAGGCAAGTTCGACCTAGGAGGAAACACCAGCTTTCTAGGTGCCCTGGGTTCCAGCCCTCAGTTCACTAGCCGTGTGACCTTGGGCCAGTTAATTTCGAGGATCCATCAGTTAATAAAGTGAGGCAGCATCTCGGAGCTGCCATAAGACTGTAAACTGCAACAGATTGAGGTACTATTTTTAAAAGGCTTGTAGATCTGGCTGGAAACGGATGGAGACCGGAAGGGATTGGGAGCGCAGAGAGGCGACACCGGCCAGTCCTGCCAGGCCGCTGAGAGGGACAGGGGGCAAGCTGCTGTCCAGTCATTCCGCTCCCACCCTTTTCCTTTTTGCATTGTTTTGATTGACACCGGCCAGAGGGGCAGCAGGGCAGGAAGGCTGGGGGACCTGTCAGAGGTGACTGTAGTGTGGACAGGAGAGGGGCAAGCCACAGCAAGAGAGCCAAGAGGAGAGGGAGGGTGGTGCTTGCCAGGCCTGACTGCCAAACCCCCCTCAAACCCCCAAGAGGCCCAAGATCCGGGAGCTGGTTCTGCAGCGCCACCTGGTGACCACAGGCAAGCTGCAGCCAGAAGGTGACCTGGGGCTCTAAAAGAAGCGCATCCACCATGGCCCTTGGTTTCAGCTGTTTTATTTCCAAAATATTCCTGACTCCACTGACTCCTCCCTCCAAAGACCAGTAGGAGAGAGGTGAAAGGGGGTAGGGCCAGCCTGTGCCTCCAGCCCTCCCTAACTTAAGGTCACCTCCTTGGGCTAAACCACAGTAGCAAGGGCAACCTTCTTGCAGGAGGAGGCAGTGCTGAGAGGTTCCTGGAGAAGAGTGGCAACCAAGCCCGCCAGAGCCAGGGCAGGCACACCATAGCTGGGGCTGAGTGCAGCTCAGACTGACCCAGACCCCTCCCCTGCTCAGCATTCTTCCCTTCCCTGACAGGGCTGGGATCCAGGCTCAGCACCCGAGCAGCCGCAGCATCTCCTGAGAATCCACCAGCTTCTCCCGAGGCTTTCCAGCACCCTGGCCCCGAGACACTTCCTCAGCATCCAGCTTCTCCCAGTCTGAGAAAGAGACTGGCCGGATCCCTGAAGCAGAGGGGAGATAAGTCAATGCTGCCACCTTCTCCTTCATCCCCCTTCCAGTACCATCCCCCAACTCCCAAATGTGACTCCCATCCCACCTCCCAGAACCTTGGCCTCAGGGCCCAGACCTCGGCTGCTGAGCAGGGCCTGGATGGCTGTGTAGCCAGGCCTGGGGCCAGAGGGGAGCAGCCCGGCCTTCAGGTCCTGCAGCAGCACCTCGCTGGTAAGGAAGCTGTCGGTCATGGTGGTAGCAATGACACCTGTGGGTCCCCTCTTCACCCAGCCACTGCAGTAGAGGCCTTAGGGGGCAACAAAGAGAAGAGAGGTGACTGCACACTGACTGGCTATCCTGTGCCAGTCTGCACACGTGCACACACAGACGTACACCCCAGTCTCACAGCAGATCCCATCACCTGGGCCCCTTACGTCCACTGGCTGCTGTCCCAGATTCTTCCCAACTTGTTTTACCATAATGTCCCTGCTTCAAATTCAGCAGCCCCTTAGCAAAATCTACTGAATGAATGAATAACAGGTGCCTAGGTACTTAATCAGACTGGAAGCTCCCTAGGACAGGGGCTGCCTTATATCCAACCCCAGCAGTGAGCAGAAGGGCTAGCCCAGAGCTTACTGAATGACTTAATGATTAGACATATGTCCTACATATTCCGTCTAGCCTGGGGACTCCCCTCTAGTGCTAGAAGGAAGATGGTTTGGGTCCTAGGACTGGTCCTGCCTAGAATACCTGCTCAGTGTATGCCACTAGAGGAAAGAATAAAAGAATGGCCCCAGGAGCACCAGCCTTCCAGCCTCCCACCATAACCAGATGTTCAGCTTTGTCATATCCTCTCACCTGGCACATCCACAACCCGGCCTTCTGTATTGGGGATGACCCCAAGTTTCGGGTCAAAGGGCACGCTGGGGTCAATGGGAAGGCTCTTATACCCAACACTGCTCAGCACCAGCCCACAAGGAAGGTCCTCTGTCTCTCCCGTGGGCACTGCCCGGGTGGCTTCACCCACACCCTGTTGGGGAGAGGATGGGCAACACCAGGCTGGGTGGGAGAGGCTGGGAACAGGGGTGTCTTTGGGTAACATGAGACTCACCTCCAGTCTGGTAACTGCCAGGCGGATGCCTGCTGCCTGCTGCCCATCTGGAGAGGGCAGCACCTGCTGGGGGCTTCGGAAAAAGCGGAGACCCCAGGCACGGGAGGCAGAGGCCTGGCGGGAAGCCTCCTCCGGCCCCAGCTTCTCTATGGCTGTGCGAAGCAGCAGTTCCGACAGCCGCTTCCTTGGACGGGGGACCTCTGTCAGCAGTGCAGAACATCTCAGGCTGTCCCTGCCCCACAAGCCCTCCCCCAAGCCTTCTGTGAGCCTTCTTCTAGGTCAGCCCCTCCCTGTGAGCCGGGAGCCAGGCTTCGGCACCTCACCCTTGATTCTGTCCTGGAGGCCCAAGAAATCTGCAGGATCTAAAATGGTTCGGGTTCCTGGTAACTGGATCATCTCCCGAAGCTCCTTGTGGTGGGGTGGGGAGTGGGAAGGTCAGGCTCTGAACACAGTCCACCAGAGTCCAGCCCGGTGAAGATACCAACATGGAAGGCACAGGGCCCTGGGGCCTGCTCCCCCTTCCATCCCAGCAGCAGCTCCTCCCAGAGGCTCTGCCTCCTCCATGGGACACCCTCTCCTTGGGACACCTCCCACCCACTGCCACCCCAGTACCTTAATGGTGAAAGCCACTTGCAGGGGCCCGCGCCTGCCCACTATCCACACCGTCTTCACCTGACTCTGCCTCAGCAACCCTAAGGCAGCCTCCGTGATGTCCGTTTTCTGGTACAAAAGGAAGTCCTTGAAATCATGGAACACTGACCTAGGGACTCTAGTGGTGTCTCTACCCTGAGCCAGAAGGCTGGTAGCTCGAAACTGCACTACTACCCCCACCCCCAGTGGTCAGACGGGGCACTGCTGCCAACTCAGCAAAGGGCTCCAACAAGTAGCAAACTAGGCCCTGACTCTTTCACCGATGATGAGTATTTACCGAGCATCTACCATGTGCCTGGCCCTCACAAAGCTTCTTATCGGTGTGGAAGGATACTCATCGGATCTCATTAATGAGCAAAATTGCAGGGCTGTAACCTGCTATGCATGAAATAGAAGTAGACAGGTCTGTTAAACAACGGTATTACAGGGGAAATGGACCTATTCAGGGCATCCCTGCAATGCTTCCTGGCAGAAGGAATAACTGAGCCAACTTTAACTGGCAGGAGTCAAATGAAAATGTTCCGAGCAGGTGGAATGGTGTGTGCAAAGATCCTGTGGTACAATGAAGTTTTTTTTTAAAAGGCCCATGTAGGCCGGGGATTTAGCTCAGTGTTCCGCCCCCTGCCCCACAAGCACAAGGACCCAAGTTCGATCCCCGGTAGGAAAAAAAAAACCCAAAAACAAACAAACAAAAAAGGCCCATGTAGCTGGCATGCCAAAGTAAAGGGAGACATGGTGTGGGTTGAGGCTCGCAGGGCTGCCGTCTCGAAGCCTCTGCCTGGCCTGGCACCCTGGAGAAACAGGCACTGAGCTCCCCACCTCCAGCCTCTGACCTACCACTCACCTCCAGGTGCTCAGGTGGGGTCAGCAGGATCCGGGCCACATCCAGAGCCACGTTCCCCTGTCCCAGAATCACAGCAGTGTCACAGCTCAGGTCCGGTGCCAGCTGGAGGAGAAAGGCCTTGAAAGACCCCCAGCTAGTGCTCCCATCAGCCTGACCTTGTCTGCAAATGTCCTGTGCCCAGTCCTGGTCAGCCTCCCGGAGCCATCTGTCCCTGCCCACCCAGCCCCGCCCCAGAGGCCTTCCATGGCTGACCTCCAGCCTCAGTTGGCCCTGCATCCGTCTCTTCTTCTAGTTTCTCACCACCTCTTCTGCTCTCTCTGGGATCCAGGCTGCCCTGGCCCAGGCAGAGGAGTGGGGAGGAAGAGGCAGCAGGAGTGCTCCCCAAACTCACCGCTTGGTTCTCAGGAAGCCCATTGTACCAGCCCACAAAGGCCCGGGCTGAGCACACGCCAGGGAGCTCCTCGCCGGGGATCCCCAGGGCCTGGTGGTCCTCCGCCCCATAGCTCTGAGGAAAACCAGAGCCCAGAGTCTTAGCACCGAGCATGGGGGACTGGTTCCTAGCCCCTCCTGGTTCCCAGTGTCCCCTCCCAGCAACTTCCATCATCTGCTCTCACCAGCACCACGGCATGGTAGGCCTCCCGCAGCTCGGACACAGTCACATCCCTGCCCACTGCCACGTTACCCCGGAAGGCACAGCGCTCAGAGTGGGCTGTCTGGGTAAATGTGTTGATGACATTCTGCAGGGCAGCCCCAGAGAGCGAGGGGTTAGAGGGCGGGATGTCCAGGGACCACGTCAGTGCCACCTTCGCCCCTTCTCCCACAATGTCCCCAGGGTCATTCTACCCACCCTCATTTTGCCCAATGGCTCCAAACACCACCCTCCATGCTCAGAGACCCACCTTCACCTCAGGATGGTCAGGCGCCACCCCAAAGCGCACCAGGCCAAAGGGCACGAGCTGCTTCTCGTAGATGTCCACTTGGGCCTGGTTGTGGTGCTGGGGGAAAGGGCACAGCTGGTGGGGTCCTGCCTTCCCCAGACAGAGCAGTGGGCTGGGGACACAGAGGCCTCCACCGTCTGTGAGGACAAAGAGCACCTCTGCCCAGACAGCCGGACACGGGGCAGCAGGAGCTGAGGTCAGGCCTCAAGACTACCAGGTGTGAGAATGTGAGAGACCTGGCCAGTGAAAGAGGCTCACAGTTCCTCTGCCCTGGATCTGGGTGTCGGGGGAGCTTCATCTGCTCAGGTTAGACCAGACCCACAGCCCTCCCCTCCAACCCACCCACACTTTCTAGAAAGGCCCAGCTGGGCTGATAACCTGTAGGCCATTCTTTGAAAGTCAAAGCCACCTTAGGTCTTATCTCCAAGATCGTCCCATTGCAACAGGGACCAGCAAGACCGGGAGGGAGGTGGCAAAGGGCTATTCCTAGTCCTAGGAAAACCATCTTCTTTTCTTGCTTTAAAATCTTTCCTTGCTACAGGACCCAGTTCAAACTGCTCAGCAGGCGGTCAGTTCCTAACACAACCTGACCCTGCGGTCTTTATCTTTCATTCTTTCCAGCTATGTGCCTTTCACTCCGGGTCACATGGCTCCCTCCAAGGCCGCCTCCATCGTAACAGCCTTCAGTGCACATACTGACCTCTCGTCCCTCACCTCCTTCCTTAGCCTCCAGCTGTTCCTTCTCAGGGCTCTTTTCCTATATTCCCTGGGTCTGTCTCTGTCTCTGTGACTGTCTGTCTGTCCGTCTCTCTCTTTCTCCCACCCTTCCTGCCCCCATCCTTCCTATCCACTCCTCTCCCCAAGCTCCAAACCTGAGACCACAGGACATCCTCACCCAGACACCTCAAATCCATCCTGATAAAACCAAGGCCTTGTCCCCCAAACCTCTCCCCTTGTGCTCCTGTGCTCCCACCCATCCCGCTCAGAGCCCAACCCCAAGCCTGGGGCTCCTTGCTTACCCATCTCGTCCTGCCCCATCAAACGCACACCTTTCCCCCTCCCCCTTCCCCACTGCGCTCCAGGCCAGCAGCCCCGCCTGTGTCCACCCTGCAGACAGAACATTCCAAATTTTTTAAATGGGCCCCTTGGCTAGAGAGTACCTCAGTGGTAGAGCACTTGCCTAGTATGTGCAAGGCCCTGGGTTCCATCCCCAGCACTGAAAAAAGATGGGGGCAGCTGGGGTCTGGTCTAAAACTCTTCAGGGAACCCATCTTCCCACGGCAGTGAGCATTAGAATCTCCGAGGGGACTGGTTTAAAGTTGCCCATTCCAGAACCCCAGTCACAGAGTTTGATCAAGTCAGAATGCTTTCTTTATTTATTTTTGTTGTTATTTGTTTGTTTTTTGGAGACAGGGTCTCACTAAATTACCCAGGCTGGCCTTGAACTTTTGATCCTCCAGCCTCAGCCTCCCAAGTAACTGGGCTTACACGTGTGGGCCGCACCTTTCCCAGAGGACTCTGATGGGAGGAGGGGGTGACAACCGGAGAAAGTCACCCAAGGCCACAGCCTGGGCAGTGGCTTCCAAGCCCCCTGGCTCTAGATTGCACCTCTTCCCCGGCCTAGCTTTCTCTCTCCACCCCTCCTGCAGACGCCTTCCTTCTGAAACTTGTCCTTTCCTTGGAGGGCTACCCTCTTCTTTCTCCAGCCTTTGTCCATTGGTTCTCTGTGCCTGGGATATTCCTGCCATTCCACCCCTTGACCTGACATCTCCACCGCCCTTCAAACTACAAGTTCTCTCCCTCTGGCTTAGGCATCCCTCTCTGCACCCCCAGGATGAGCCTTAAGCTACCTTGTAACCCACTAATCTCCTCTTCACACTGGAATGTGAGGCCCTTAAACACAGGGGCCACACCTGTCCTCCTCACCTCCTGCTCCTAGTGCAGCCTGTGCCTGGAACACGTAGGTGTCCAGTGAGTGGCCACTGGATGATGATGACAAATGGCTAAGTCAGATGCCAGTACCTTCCATGCACAGTGGTGAGACCTCAGACAGCCTCCCTCTGTCTTTGTGTCCTCACCTGCGGGTCATGACACCGCCTCACAGGTTGACATGAAGATGCTATGAGATGGTACTCAGTGCCTGACTCAAGCTAAATGGTTCTGCCCCAAACGTGTCCATAGCTTGGAGCTCCCAGGGGGCAAAGGTCAAGTCATAACTGGCCTCTGGGTCCATGCCCAGCCCAGCCTACAGGGAAAGCACATGCATGTGTCTACAGCCCAGGGGCCTGGCTTGCCTGCAGAGGAACGCTAAGAACCTTGTCTGGAAGGCCTGCTCTCCCCCTCCCAAAACACAGGGCCCTCCAGGCCTCATCCCAGAGCCCAGGCTGTCCTTCCATGTCTGCGGCCTTGCATTCAGGCTAACTCCCAACGTGAGAGAGAGAGAGAGCCCCTTGCCAAACCCGTGGCCTTCAGTGCAGTTCAAATGCACTTTCTCCAGAAAACAGTTTCTGATTCATCGCCACCTGTCTCAACTCACTCTGCTTGCATCATTATACTTAGCTCTGTCCCTTGTGTTGCTTGGGAGGCATTCATATGTCACTTTTCAACAGTGACCAAACCATCCCTGTCTCCATGAGACCTTCCTAGTTTCAGCACTAAAAGCCCCGTGACCCAGGTAAACCAGGACAGTGGGTTATGCCAACCTTTGAGTACCTCTATGTGTGTATCAGTAATATATTCATTCACCTGTCTCAACAGACATTCCAAGCTCCTCCAAAGAGAGGCCACTGTATCATCTCTGTCAACCTAGGTCTCCTCTTCCCCCTCCTTCTCAAGGTCTCAGTATATCAGGCAGCCTTGGAGCCCTGCCTATCTGCCTACCACGGCCAAAACTGAAAGCTTGGAGACCTTGGCCTTTAATGTGGGAAAGGAGGAGGCTGAGGGGCCTGTGGGTGAAGAGGACACAGGAGCTAGGTAAAGTTACAGGAAGCTAGGAAAGGGCTAGCCCCAAGATGTGGGATGTTGGGCTCAGAGGAGAAAGAAGGGCTGATAAGGGGAGGGCAAAGTCATCCTGCAGGTCTGCATAAGCTGCTGGACTGCTTGGCCAAGAAGGTATAGCTGCCCTTCTGCCACTGACCGCACAATGGGGGCCCAGGCGTAGGAAGGAAGTACGCAGCTAGATGGGGTGGGGACCCCTTCCTCATCAGGCAACCCAAAGAGCGTGAGGCTTGCCCTTAGGACTGGAGTGGAGCAGCAGGTGAATGAGAAGGGAGGAGGAGGCTGGAGGAAGTGGCTTACCTTTAGCAAGTGTTGGGCTGTGTAGAAGCCAGCGGGGCCACTGCCCACCACACAGATCTGGGGGGTCGTCTGAGTGGAGAACCGCTGGTAGAAGGCCGGGGCTGCACAGAGGGGATCAAGGTCAAACCGACACCCTCTCCCCGATCCCAACCCAACTTCAGCATCCAACACGGGATGGAGCTCCCCAAGTTTCACCCCACCTTCACCTTCCTTCTCTTGTGCCTCAAAGCTTTGGCATTTTCAGGGTCTCTTACTTCACCTGAACCCCTAAAGGCTTGGTCTTCGTCCAGAGCCCCACACTTCATCCATGAACCCGCTACACTGCCGCGGATGGCCTGCCCACGAACCCCGTAGCCCTCCGAGCACATCTTTCTTCTATTTATGGAGTTCCCTATCCTAACTGCTGTTATTCTGCATCTTCCCACAGGTTGCCTATCATCCCAACCCCACCCCTTTGGATCTCCCCTCAACACCCCTTTCCACCCCAGATGATGTCCCTATTGTCCCCAGAATGTTGTCCCAGCCACCCTCACACATGGACTTCATGGTCTCTTTCCACCTCCTTTGCTGATCTGTCTCACCCTAGAGGCCTCAACCTCACCGCACAGGTCCCCACCTGTCCCCCACACCACCCCCGACTCGTTCTCATGAATACTGTACACCCTTCCAGGCTTGCCCCTCTCCAGCCCAACCCTAGCTCCGCTCCGACTCCCTCCACTTGACGCTCGCAGGCCTCCCCGCGCTCCCATCCAGTCCGAAGGGCCCTCTCCTACTCAGGGTGTTCCTAGAGGGAGGTGGCCATGTCCGAGGCCACACCAACCACTGCCCCCAGCGCCAGCAGCGTGGAGCCATGGCTGGGAAAAGCGACCAACAAGAGACCCTGTGACTACCCGTGTTGCAGCCCTGCTCAGCTCCGGCCCTGCCCGGGTTCTGGACCCGCCCCACCGTCCTAGTCCCGCCTCCAATCCCCGCCCCTCGCTCTGGGAAAGCGGTAGTGTAGCGTCTCCATCCCAGCCTCGAAGGAATACCGCCCCCAAGAACCCCGCCTTTGGAACCACCCCGTACTGCTAAAGCCCCGCCTCCCAGAACTTCCGAGTCCTGAGAGAATAAATTGCTCCCATCTTCACCCTCCCTCCAAATACCGGAAGACTAGAGTTGGAGGAGAGCGAATCTCCATCGCTGTTTCAGTCGCTCGCGAAGAAGGGAGCCAATTAGAAAGGAGCTTATTTTACTTAGCCTCTCAGGGGCTCCCGTCGCTTACTAATGACAAAATAGTCCTTCACCTTTTGATAACCTATCCCACTGCCTGCGTAGTTTCATTCCAGCCAATCAGAAGTCAATCTCTATGGGCGCCTCCCTGCCCGTTGGGTAATAGCCCCAGAACCCGGAAGTCTGGAGAAAGAAGCTCTGTCCGGACACTACTCACGCTTGCTCCAACCTCTGGTGCTGTATTGGTGTGGCCCCGGTTAGATGCTGTCTTTGTCCTGCCAGGGAGAGTATTATACACTGAAAATCTTGTCCAGTTTCACCCCCTTCCCCATTATAGGTGAGGAAACGGGGGGAGTGGATTGCCCAGGTACTGAGAGCAGAGCTCGACCCCCAACTCTTGTCCTGGACAAGACATTCGCCTGGGGTACAGAATTTAGGGGTCACCAAAAATTCAGTAACCAAGAAAAATAACACTAAAAAAAACTATATATTTTAGTGTACCTGTCTGAAAAGATAAAAAATAATGCCAAAAATTTATGAACAAAAAATTAAAAGCAGTAAGTACAGGATTCATGCTCACCTCTGATACAATACACATGTTGCCTCTTTGCTTTTCCCAAGGTGTTTTGTCAACTATTCAGTTCCTTAGAGAAACCTCTAATCCATCCTCTTTCAAGCTCTAAGGAGTTAGGGGCCTGTCATCCCCTCAGTACCTAACCTTACTTTATTATTGTATCAAAGGTCAGAATCTCAACAGTTTAGCTTATCTTAATTTAGCTTTTTTTTTGCTGGGGGAGGATTGAACCCAGGGCCTTACACATACTTATCACCAGCCCATACACATACTAATCACTCAGTCTTAACCACTGAGCTACACACACACACACTCAACCCTTGGCTTTATTTTTGATTCTTAGACTTGGACAGCACAATTCTGTAAAATAGAAAACGTGTTCTGATGGTTGGTTTAAGTGAAGAAGGTTGTTTTTATAGACAGACAAGGGCTTGAAAGGGAAAACAACAACCAAATTGAGATTTCTTGTGAGGGAGGAAGAGGGGACACAACAGAATAATAGGAAAATAACTGATTAGGTAACATCAGATTATCTCAGGTTACTTCTTTTGTGTAAGGATTAAAGGAGAATGTTATTTTCATGCCAATTGAAACTAGCCTGACTAGGAAATTGGCTGATTTCTCAGAATGTCTCATAAACAGCTTAGTTTTGTTGGGTTTTTTTGGTTTGGTTTGGTTTTTTTTGGTACCAAGGATCGAACTCGGGTCCTTCCACTTTCGAGGCAGGCGGCAGAACCACTGAGCTAAATCCCCGGCCCTAAACAGCTTAGTTTCACCTTGGTGAACTTCAAAGTGAGTGACTCTTTTAACTTTTATCCTGGTCTGTTGAGGCCCAGTGCAGGAGTTTAGTCCAAAGCAATGGCCCCTGTAATGTTTAACATTTGTTACTCTCCTTGTCATTAAAAAAATTTTTTTTGTTTACTTAAAAATTTTTATTAGTATATGTTTGCAATACATAATGATTACATTCATCATGGGGAGTTGGTACATGTACATAACACATCTTAATTATTCCTTGTCATTTTTAGTGATTTTTAAAAGTAACATATAACATACAAAAGGTTCACAAATCATAAGATAGAGCTGATGAGATGTAATCATATAATTACCCAGACTGAGAAATAGAACATCCCCAGTATCCCAAGAGTCCCCTGTACCTTACTAGTCACTCTTTCCTCCTACTGAGAAGTAAATACTGCTCTGCTGTCTAATATCCCCTTGTGTTTCATCCCTGTCCTACAGAATCAGGAGTAGGCAAAGGATGGCTTGCAAGACAAATGCTGCCCATAGGCTTATTTTGTACAACCTACAAGATTGGTTCTTATATTTTTTTAATGGCAAAAATAATTTTAAGTATATTGTGACATGAGCAGGGGATGATGGGGCACTACAGGCAGCTAAGTGAAATAGAAATCAATATACAGCCAGAGAGGGACTGGGCTCTCAAGGAAGTCAGCACAAAAATAAAGACATTGGTATTGTGGTTGGAGACAAATCTGAAGCAGGCCAGGCCTCAAAATAAAGATGGAGTGGCCATGCCTACATAGCTCCCTAAGGGGTAAACAATAACTTGAGATTATATTGTGATTAGTACCACCTGGTCCAGTAAGTCCAGATAGCCATCTGTACCCCAGGTGGGTGACCAGGACATCTGGACCCATCACTTCCCAAAAATGTTTTTGTTCTTTCCATGTATCCTTGCCATATGACTCATTTCCCTGATGAATCAATATTAGCTAAGCAGCTATACTTGTAATCCTATAGGTTGATTATAGTTGAATCTACATTGTACCCACGTTGTAATTTTGCTGTATAAATTACCACTCCAAAGAGCCTCGGAGGCCACCCCATTTGGGACTTCTAGAAATCCAGGAGCTATTCTCTCCTTATTTCTGTATAACTCTCCTAAGATCCTTTGGCTCACAACTTCATTCCTTGATGATGTGGGACCACAAACTCGACACATTTGACATCTAAAAGGTTGGGAGTAACGTTTCTCCTGTATCAATCCCAGCACTGGGGAGGCTAAGGCAGAAGGATCACCATGAGTTTGAGGCCATCGTGGGCTACATAGAGAGTTCAAGGCCAACCTGTACTACATAGTGAGACCCTGTCTCAAAAAAACAGAAAGTGGGCGGGGATTTAGCTCAGTGGTTTCACCCCCTGCTGTGCAAGTGCAAGAACTCGAGTTCAATCCCCGGTACCAAAAAAACCCCCCAAAAACAAAAAATTAGATGAAGTAGGTAAAAATATCTGCCGTTTGTGGTAAATGAATGTTAGCCATCATCATCAATTAGACTTTAGGTCTCTGCAGAGCCTTAAAAACACTTTATTCACTGCTATCACCTCATCTCTCAAGCCCCAGGTAGTCAGAGTAACAGAAAATTGAGCTTCACAGAGACCAAGTTGATTTGTTTCTGGGGTGTCCATGTTACACTTAGGTTTGGCACCAGGACCCCCAGCTTCTGCCCATATCCCATTCAGGTCCAGATCAAGAACAATGAGTCATGAGTTGTATATTTGGATAGTTTTAATCATTAGCCTGGGATATACACAGGGCCTTTCTCTGACATTGCATTTTTCATATGGAGAATTAGCAGTTTGATGAATTATACTCCCAGACCCTAAGACCATTTCTGAGCTGCTAATGCCTTTCAAAAGAGCAGCAATAACATATAGCAGAGCAGTAGGCTGGGGAAGCTGCCAAGCTACCATATCCCTGTTCCAAGAGGGCTGCTTGCATCCAAAACTCTGCTCTTATTGGCGAGCCTCCCAGCAGGGAACTCGGGAATACTCCAAAGGGGTGACTGAGGAGAGTTTCATGAAGGGACTTTGCACAGAGGTGTGAGCAGGATTATGGGAACAAAGAAACATCTTGGGGCCAGCAACAGCTGGAAACCACTGCCAAGCTGGGCCCGAAGGAGGCCAAAGAGGGAGTTATTCAGGAACTCGTAAGAACCAGAGCTGGAAGCAAGGGTGCCTGAAGGAGCTGTGGCCTCTGCTAGAGGGGGCAGGGCAGAGATGGTTGAGGGAGGATCTGGAGGGACAGACAGGGCTGGTGCCAGCAGAACTGTTCCGGGCCACACTGGACACAGAAAGGCTTCTGATGGCCTGGGCTCAGAATGGCTTCACTGTCTTCTGCCTACTTCTTGTCTACCTCCTTCACTTATTTCAAGGGCTCCCGGTTGCTGGTCTTTAGCTTCCCTTCATCAGGGTCAATGTGCCCTTCACCACATCTATAGCCTTAACTGAAAAGTCAGGCAATTATGAGCCCAGAAGAATGACTTGCATGTTCTCAACCAGGGATGATTTTTGACCCCCCAGGGGATATCGGCCTATGTCTGGGGACATTTTTGATTGTCATAACTTGGACTCCTAGCATCTATCTAGTAGATAGAAGCCAGGAGCATGGCTAAACATCTTATGATGCACAGGACAGCAACAAAGGGTTATCCAGATAAAATGTCAATAGTGACAGGTGAGAAATCTCGTCATAACTGCTCTGGCCTTCTGTCCCAGGCCTGGCCCCTTTCTCTGCCCCTTCCTTAGCCTTCACCTAGGAACTTCCTTGCACCCTCTCAGTCCCAACCTCTCAACTCTGCCTACTTTGGGCTTAATCTCAGTGGTGCCCCACACTTTGGCATCAGTAGCTCCCTTATATCCCCACCTCATGCCCAGGCTATGGACCTTACTGCCAAGTTGCCCTTGACTTCAAGCTTTTCTTTCTCTCTTCAGTTGACCTGTCCTGCAGACCCAGTTCCCATAACCCTCTCCAACCCCAGCTACTGCCTGCTAACTTTCTCTCCCTGCTTCTAATCGTCATGGAACAAAGCACTTTTCTAGAACTAGCCAAGGTCAAGCTTAAAGCTATGCATACTCTTTCCCCAGCTCTGTCTCTGAGGTATTGTCCCCCCTTACTTCCATACTTTCATCTCACTGAGACCGTGGGCCTTGGGAACTGCTGAGCCTGTGTCCCGCACAAGCTGCTCTGGCTGATGAACTCAGGAGGTCTGCCAACAATGACTGGCCCTGTGGTACCTGGGGAGAGGGCCACTGGGAGACAGGGCCTCAAACAGTGCAGAAGCAACAATGGCCAAGCCAGTGTGCAATGCTCCTGGCAGCAGGAAGGCCCCAGCCCAAGGGGCTGACACTCCTGTGTGTGCCTCCTCCCATCTCCCAGGTGGCTGGGGCACAAACAAGATGCTGCCTCACCTTCTGTCCCCCACCTCCAACCCTCCACAGGCTCAGATGGCCAGAGGGAGGGATTTGGAGATGGAGCCAGCCGAGGCCCAGACTGGCCATGTTGCTCAGCCACCATTGTTCCCTTTCCCCAGACACTCCCTGAATCCCAGAAGAACAAACAGCACGAGCTGGCCTGTCTCGCTGCTGGTCCAAGTCCTCCATACTCCAGGTCCATGACCCTCCACTGCACCACACCCTTGGGGCCAGGAGCAACAGCAGAGCCAGGGTTGGGCCAGGACTGGAGCCTAGCCCTCACTGCAGCCCCACCAGCTCCGTGATCGGTGGGGCCTGCACCATGAACTCCTCATAGCGATCGAAGAACAGCCGGAAGCGAGCCAGGTACGAGTCCTCGTTGTATGGCAGCTGCTTCTCACGGAGGAACTTGGACACCACGGGCTTCACCTGATGGAGATGGGTGGGAGGAGGAGCCTGTGAGCTGGGACTGTCACACACCTGTCCAGGGGGGAATCATCTTCCCAGCCTCAGTTCCTATCTGCTTTGTCCTAGATGCTGGGGTGAGCTGAGGGGCTGAGGTACTGAGGAACTCCTGCCTCCCCCAACCCTACTGCAGGCAAGAAAACCATGGGCTCCCCCTGCCCCTACATCCCCAAGGCTTCCTGCTGCATGACAGCGCCTTCGGCACCGTGGAATGAAAAGCACAGCTCCCTTTGCAAGCAAGCATCTACTTCCTGTCCAGCACTTTAGATCGACGTGCGTCTTCATTTTGTCCTGCAGGTAAGCGCTGTCGCCTCAATCTTACAGACAGGGAAGCTGAGGCTCAGTAAACTTGTCCCGAGGCTCACTAGTAAGAAACCTAGGTGTCTGATCTGAAACCCACACCACTGCATGTACTCAAAGCTGCTCTCCTGGGTGATCTCTGACCAGGCCAGTGTTGGGGAGCTCCAAGTTCTCACTGTCCTCCCTCCAGCCCAGTCCTTAGTTACCTTCAGGCACATGTTGTCTGAGAGCGTGGGGAAGAGGTGGTGCTCCACGTGGCAGCTGATGAGTGAGTGGCCGAACGCCCAGTCCAGCACTGGCAGCCGGGGCAGGTTAAGGACACCCAGGCTCATCATGTGAATCCGCCGGGGCTTCTTGTCCAGGGAGAACATGGGGAGCCCGATGTGCTGGGACAGACACATGGGTCACACTGGGGGCCAGGCAGCCCCGGACCTGCCCCCTCCCCCGGGGAGCCTCACAAAGTAGGGACCCAGTAGCTTTTTCGGCCTCCAAAGCCTACTCCAGCAGGACCTGGGAGAGGAATAAGGGGCTGGGGCTCCTGGTCTGTCTCAGATGCCAATCCAGCCTGTGTCCTGAGCTGAGTCTCGCCCATCTCTGGGGCTCTTTCCCCATCTGGACAATAGGGAATTTGGCCTGGGCACCCATTGAATTCCTGATACTCAAATGCCCATGATTACCTACCATTGCTCTCATGCTGTGCCTTTTCCTCATCCTGGAGAAACCCTCCCTGCTCTACCACTCAAACCCTTACTCATCATTCCAGACCAAGTCTGGTCAACCTCTGGTACTTTCTCACTAAACAAGTAAGTCCAGGTGCCTCTGCCAGGCACTGTCCTGCATCTAGGGGAGCTGGAAGTGAATAGGAACTTCCATCCAAGCAGGACAAGCAGACAGGATGCAATTATGAGATTAAGTGATGAACAGTATTTGGGCTGAGTGCCAAGCTGGTGGACAGGGAGCTCTAACGTGGCATGGTCACTGTCCAGGGAGCAGGGGCCATCCCTGCGGAGACAGCACTGGAACTGGACAGGAGCCCCTGACCTCACACAGAGTCAGTCCCCTGCCTCAATCCCCAGCTGCTTCCTCTGCCTGCCTGGTGGCACTGGCTGGGCCCTCTGCTCACTTGGACATCCACACACCGATGAAAGCACTCTAGCTGGTGCCGAGGGGAAGCCAAGGCCTCACCTGCAACCCAAGCTCTCTGTGATGACTCACAGAGAGCTGGTGTGGCCAAGAAGGAGGGCTGCCCTCTCTCCCATGGGGACTCGGGTCCAGCCTGCAGTCAGGCACCCCAGAGAATGGTCCCCTAGTGCCAGGTGAGAGGCCTCACCTGGAAGATGTTGACGTGGACGTAGGGGTGGGCCAGCAGAGACCTGGTGAGCAGCATGCAGGCCAGGGCTGAGCTGGGGCTCCCGAACCCTGACACGTTGAGGAGCAGCCAGTAGTGGGAATAGAGGCCCAGGGAAATCAGGCCCAGTGTCTGCAGAGCTGACCTCAGCTCCACCTTCCTCAGATGCTCTGCCAGGGGAACAAGACTCAGAGTGAGGAGTGGGAGGGTTTTCAGCCATCATGAACTGGCTCCCTGGTGGCCAAGGGTGGTAAGGTAGAGGGTGGTCTGGGAGTGTTCAGTGAATCCACACAACAGTCCCTGAAAAGTTTGTTCACCCATTGTATGGAGGAGGAAACAGAGCCATTAAGCAACCTGACTGAGATCGTGACCTGTTCCACACCCTTGCTCCTTCCACCCTGTGGTGTTGTTCCCATGATGTCCACACTTACAAGACACAGTATGATTTCTATGAGGCAGCTACTAAGCCAGTGGTGGCGAACCTGCAGCACGTGTGACACAGAGGGTTGTGTGTTATTGCTGAAAGCTGTAAAAGGTTCACCATCACTGTACTAAGTATTCTTTTTTTTTTGGTATCGGGGATCGAACTCAGGACCTTGCACTTGCAAGAAAGGTGTGGTGCCACTGAGCTAAATTCCTGGCCCTGTACTAAGCATGCTTAAGTCTATGGCCTCCTTATGCGTTCACACCATTCTGGAGCAGCAAGTGAAGAACCTGAAGCTCATAGAAGTGCAGTTACCTGCCCACAGTCACCTGCCAATAAGTGGCACAGCCAGACTTAGACCAGGTCTGGGGCTCTTTCCACCCTACCTGGCCATTTGAGAAAGTCTTTGTTAGCCTTAGCTCTGGGCACCTGGCTTCCCCAACAAGCAGCTTCCATGAAGCTATGAGAAGGAAGGAGGGGCTGGGAACAGGTTTTTGCAGGGTCCTCAGACTCAGACGGTCACAATACTTACCAAGAGCCACCAGAGGGGTTACAATGGGGATTAAGAAGGGTGCAAGGAACATGTAGATGTAGCGGTTGAGGCAAGGCAGCTTCCAGGTGCTTGAGTCCCCCAGCCCCACCACATTGGTGTAGCCGTGGTGCAGCTTGACGTGGCCATACTTAGCATACTCTGCAGGGAAGGCCGTGCATACCTGGAGGAGGAGCAGAGAGGACACCAGGTCCAGGTCAGGCACAGTCAAGGGCAGTGGGATCTGGGGAAGCCTCAAGAACAAGCCACTCTGCTTGAATCCTGCAATTCTAGAGCCTTTCTGCCCCACACAGACAATTGTCTCTCAGCCACCTGTGACCCCAGTGAAGCAGCCAGACAAACAACTGCAAAGTACTTGAGGTTCTGCAAAGCACTTGACCTCGGATTATCCCTCTGCCACTGACCACCACCTAGACAACCTCTGGAGTCTCTGAAGCTACTGTTGCAATAAGGCTGGCAGCCCATGCGTGTCCTGGAAACCCCTGCACCTTCATAACACTATTTTGCATTCTAAGCCCACAGCAGCAAGGAAAGGAGTACAGAAGTAGCCTGGGGATAAGTGGAGACCATCTCGCATCACAGTGTGGGAAGGGGATGCCACTAGTGGAGGCTGAGTTAACTTCTCCCCAGAGGTGACTCTTCTGGTATAGGGCCTTGAAGGGATTCTCTGAAGCTGCTCATGAGGAGCTATGTTCACTGGCTCTCTGGCTCCTAGAACAGTCATTCTGAATGCAAGGGAGGCAGTATGGTGTTTCTTATGCAGATATATGCAAATGAACATGCGAATGTGAGCCTCTTCAAATATTTTATCTGGGCCAGCAGACTTTAATAATCTTACTGAAGAGGGCTGGGGATTTAACTCAGTGGTTCCACTGCCTGCCTCGCAAGCAGAAGGACCCGAGTTCGATTCCCGGTACCAAATACATAAATACATACATACATACATACATACATAATAATCTTACTGAAGATGCTGCCTGCCTGATTCCGGAAGAAAGTGAAGGATTTCCCCATACCAGTCTTTGGGTGTCATAGGTAAGTTTAATTGTCAACTTGATTGGTTTGGGGGCTGCCCAGGGGACTAGTAAGGCACATTTTATGTGTCTAGGTGTATTTCGGAGAAGTGACCATGGGGTCTGTATCTCCTCTCTCGGCCCTTCCTCTCTGTTTCTCTTGCCCTGCTCTGCTTCTCAGCTGCCTCGAACTAAACAGCTTTGTTATGCCACACACTTCCACCATGATGTTCCCACCTTGGAGCCGGCCAACCATAGACTGAATCCCCTGAAACCGTGAGCAAAAACAAACCCTTCCACCTCTAAGTTGTGGGTGTCAGGTATTTGGTTCCAGCAACAGTAAAGCTGACCCTTCCTGGGAGCCAGGAAGACACAGCAGGACTCCTTCGCTGAGCACTCAGTAGGTACCAGGCTCAGTGTTGAGCACTTTCATGTGCTCCCTAACTCAGGGGGTCAGTGGTGCTGTTCTTCACAGTTCACAGAAGCCGCAGCTGAGATAAGGAGAGGCCACCTGATACCAGGTCACACGGCTAAGGAGATGGCAGGGACAAGATGTGGACAGGGAGGCCCAGATTCCAACCAAGATAAGGATGGTGGTCCCGAAATGCACCAGACATGGCCACAGCATGAAGCCAGGCTCTCGGTCCAGACAACAGAAGCAAAAGCAGGAGAAAGCTAAAGGATGACACTGTCTCCACATTCTGCCCCTTGGAGTGAAGCAAACCGCGATGCAGGCAGAAGCTGTATCTAAAGGACACTGAGGAGCACACGTACAGTTTTGCAGAGGCCGTGGGAAGATGAGGTCCACCCAGCAATGCTGTGCAGGCCCCTGTGAAGACAGAGGGCTTGAAAGTAAGTGCTGACTCCACAACAGCCTTTCTGCCTCATCCAGGACACCAGGGTGGGGCACTATGCTCTCAGATGATGCAATCCACCTAAGGACAGGTTCTGCTCTCTGCTTCTGTAACCTCGCCAGGGACAGATCATGGAGGAGGTGGCAGAGGGTGGGTGGCTGAGGAGTCAGTTAAAGCAACAGCCTCAAAAAAAATAAAAATAAATAAAAACTTAAAAAAAGTGACAGCCTCTTCCAAGCCCTCCAGTCTCAGTGGTACCTGCCCACTCATGAGCCTCACCCACTGGGTCCACACAGTTGGTTTAAATTAGTGCCAGAAGCCTTTGGCAGGGGGCTCAAGGGAGGGCACAGCTGGGGTCTGGAGATGTCCTCAGAGCGAGTCTGGGCTTTGCCCAAGGCCTGCAAAGGTACGTTTTACACCAGGATTGCTCCCCATGTACTTGGAAAAAGCAACTGTTTGGAATGAAAGTCCTCCCACGCACTCCTCCATAGGCCAGTCCTATCCAGATGGCTTCTTTTGCCAGGAGAAGTCAGCTGAATGCAGCTACCTGCTTAGTGTCATCTGGTTTTCCTCATCTCACAGGTCAGCAGCCTATTGCACTTAGAGTGGCAATGCCCGCAGCGACCTGGAGCCCGGCCCCAACTGAGAGTCTTGAGAAATGGCACCCTCCCTGCCCTGGGGGCTCCTCAGCAGGTTCTTATCCATGTGCTCAGGCCTGTGGCTTCTGGGGAAATAGATGGCCAGTGGCACGCATGACCTGTGATTGGTGACTCTGTGCACACTGCCAGTGTCGATGAATGATTTTGCCTTTTACACGACTAAGAAAAGATTCGAAGCTATTTATCCCATTTAGATGTTTGCTCCTGAGAGGGAGAGAAAGGGGTGGAAGGGCTGGAAGGGAAAGATGGGTAGAGGTGCAGCTCATGTGCCCACAGCCCACCCGCCATCCACCCAAGGGCAGTGAGAAACAAGAGTCACTTTAAAGTCTTGCTGAAGAGGATCCCACATCTAGACCCAGAGAAAGTTCCAGAACCCTCACAGTTCTACCCCCACATCCCTCCTCCTCCTCTTCCTCCTCCTCCTTTTTCTTCTTCTTTTGCAGTACTGGGGTTTGGGACAAGGGCCTTCATACTGACCTATATCCTTATCCCTCTTTATTTTTTGAGACATGATCTCACTAAGTTGCCCAGGCTGGGCTCCAACTTGCCCCAGCCTCCCAGAGTGCTGGGATTACAGGTGTGTGCCACCACACACAGCTTGGTGCTGCTTTTTAATGTCACCTGCCACCTTCTGTGCCTGAGAAAGGCGTCACAGCACATCTGAGCCCACATCGGTCAGGCCCAGACTATGATGAGTATAATTGCTACGATGTATTTAGCTAAACTTCAGGGGCCCCAAAACTCTCATTTGTTGATTCTCTCATGCAATTATTTGTCCACTTTAAGCATCCTCTGAGCCCTCCTGGTGCTAGGCCCCATGCTAGGCTGTTAGGATACCAGACTCGGGGCCTAGAAAGGGACAGCATCCCTCCAGGGCACCTGATGGGCTCATTCTGACCATGGTGAACCCACTTCCATCAAACGAGTACTCCAAGTCTCCCCTTCTGTGGCTTTCCCTCTTGTCCCTCTCCTATTCCAAGAGTGGCTAAACTGTGGCTCTGTTCATGCCGATCTTGCTGGAGAGCTTGCCTCTCACCAGAGGACTCAGGCTCAGGGATTTGCATCTCCCTGAGGAGGGCTGCCATATGCAGCCAGTGAAAATCCAAGACACCCAGGGAAATCAGAACTTCAGATAAACCACAAACATGTGTCATCTTTGGGATATACTTCTATAAAGAAAATGGCTTATCTGAAAATTCAAATTTATCCAAGCAGCCTATATTTCATCTGGTAAACCCACTGCTCCAGACAACACAGCCCCAGAACCCCCAGCATTCTGAACCCAGCCAGGAAGGGGCTGCTCACCCTGGGAGATCAGCAGGAAGGGGAGGAACAGGAGCTGAGCAGACCACAGCCCAGAGTGTCCTCTGCCCGAAGGACACTGCCCCTGGATGTCCCACCACAGCTTTGTCACCTCAGGAGTGGCCTCCACCGTGGCTGCAGCCCCAGCTGGAGCCCCAGCCCTTCCTCTGACCCTTCCTCCTCCACCACATCCTGCCTGGCACTGTCCTCCCGGAGCCTCCTCCTCACGGTCACTGCTCACCTCTCAACTGATCTCTGGCCTGCTACCTGCCTCATCTGCCTCAAATCCAGCAGGGTGACCTAGCGACAACTATCTTTGATTGCGCCAGAACCCTAATTATGTTTTTAAAGACTGTAGTGTACTGTTTACTCAACAAACACAATAAGGAGGAAAGTATTAGAGAAGGATACAGAAGAGACTGATAACCTCCACGTTATCTATTCAGAAAGTAAAATAGCTTCTTAAATTGCCGGTGTAAGCCAAGTATGGTGGTGCACACCTCTAATCCCAGCACTCAGGAGGCTGAGGCAGGAGGACCACAAGTTTGATGCCAGCCTGTTCAACCCTGTCTCAAAATCGAAATCAGAAAAACTACCGATGTAGACAACTGTCTTGGGTCAGTTCAAAGTCCCAGCCCCTCTGCTTGCAGCTCGGAGCTCCTTGGTCCCCTTTCTCCAGGAACCCTGTTAGATTCCAGAGACCCTAGGTTTCTGTGGGTCCCTTATGCCCTATGCTGTCTGCCATATCCATGTCTTTGCCTGAACATCTGCTCTGTGTGAAGCCGCCACCCTGCACTTCAGCCTGTCCAGCACCATTTCCGGAACTCCCGCTTTCCAGCCTCCACGCCACTGGTGTTTGGGGTTGGCTCATCTTCTGTGTGAGGCCCAACGCAGCTGAGGCAGCCTGAAGTGTCCCCAGACATCGCCCAGTGGCCCCACGCGGCCCCCACAGCACTGAGATGAAGCCTTAGGCACCTTCTGCTGTCCTGGTCCCTGGCTGCCCACGTTTCATCTCTGCAGGCTTGAGCAAGTGACTTGGCCCCCCCCAAACTAGGGCTTCCTCATGTCCAGAATAGGTGGGCTCATGGGGAGGCAGGACTGTTAAATGACATGACTCATATCAAGGACACAGCAGCCAGCAAGTATTAGCTGTTACAGTCAGGGCGCGTGCGCGCGCGCATGTGTGTGTGTGTGTGTGTGTGTGTGTGTTACTGGGGACTGAACCTGGGACCTTCCCGCTGAGCGACATCTCCAGCATCATTTTTATTTTTTACTTTGAGACACAGTGTCACTAAATCACTAAACTGCCCAGGCTGGGCTCAACCTTGAGATCCTCCTGCCTCAGCCTCCCAGACTTCTGTGATTACAGGTGCATGCCGCCACACATCATTTGGTTCTTTTTTTTTTTTTTTTTTGGTACTGGGGATCGAACTCGGGTCCTTGCACTTGTGAAGTAGGCAGCGGTGGAACCACCGAGCTAAATCCCCACCCTGGTTCTTTATTACTTTGATGTCATTTGTTTGTCTTTTTTGACTCAGCCCTTGGAAGCAGAAGAGGTCCTATTCATCATCATTGTGTCTCCAGCACCTGGTGGAGCACTGCCAGGCATGGAGTAAAAGTTCCACAGTACTGGGAGCATTGCTCTGGCTGCAGATCCAAGTCGCAGCCCTGACCCTGGTTTGCCCACTCAGAGCCTCAGCCCAGTCTGGGCCCCCAAAGCTCCCGTCACCCTGAGGCTTCCTCCAAGTCTCCTCTCCTGGCTGGGTGTACACTGTCACGCTCACAAACGTCCCCTGAAGTCTCTGCCAGGTTTCTCCCAGGCCCTCCCTCAAGGGGCCGCTCCTCATACCCACTGTGCCAGTGCAGACTGCCGTGGCCAGGCAAGGGCAATTTCTGTTGCACCTGTCCCTCTCCACCTCAGGGGGGCTGTCTGTAAGCCCATCGGGGCTACCCACAGAAGCCAGGATTTTTGAGGACCCCACCCAGGAACAGGAATCACAATGAGAAGCCCTCCCTGTGGTACTCAGGCTTTTCCTGGAGGAAGTCACACCACAGTTGAGGGAGGGGGAAGGACTGTATAAAAAAAAATTTTTTTTTTCAGTACTGGAGCCACTGAGCTAAATCCCCAGCTCAAAATGCATTTTTGGTGCAGGGAATTAGCTCAGTGGTGCCACCGCCTCCCTCACAAGTGCAAGGTCCCGAGTTTGATCCCCTGGTACCAAAAAAAAAATACATTTTGAGAATCTACACTCATGATAAAATGGCACAGAACACACATGTACGTGCATGTGCACATATGCACAATGCCAGCGACAGTTTCCATATTGAATGATACATACGTAAATATAACTACTGGGGAAAATCAGGTGGAGGATCCACCAGATATCTTCCATTTTTGGAAGTTCTGTGAGTCTATAATTAATTTTAAAAAATTAGAAGTTTTCACACAAAAATGTATTTTGTACTGAAGATCTGTGTTTGCCCCCAAATGAATTTTACAAATAAAAAAAAATTGTAGTTGAGGGCTGGGGGTGTAGTTCAGTGGAGCATGTGCTTAGCATGCATGAGGCCCTGTGTTCAATCCCCAGCACAGCGGGGGAGAGGGGCAGGCAGCAAGGAAAAAAGGAAGAGGGGAAAGAAAAGGAAAGGGAAAGAGAAAAGGAAAGGAAGTCACAGTTGATCTTACCCAAAAGCTCTCAGGGTTTGGGTGGGAACAAGCCCAGAGAAGGTCGAAGAAAGGCCCAGAAGGTAATGGCTGCACTAAACTCAGGACAGAAGAGAACAAGCAAAGATCAAGACTAGGCTGGGGGTTCTCAGCGGTTTCCACCCCCACAAGAGACCCGAAGGAAGGATGGTGACAGGCTTTCCCGTGTGCCAGCCCTCCCTGCAGGGCACCGGTACTGTGCAGGGCTCCCTGTAGACCAGCTATGACTCCGCCCCTGTAGCACAAAACCAACTTCACAAGGAGTGTTTGTTGCTGAGACACAATACAGAGCTTCGTAACTGGCACAGACTGTACCCTCCCACTTGGGAGCATCTTGATGGCTATCGCATAGAGGACAGTCCTCAAAGTCCTCTGCTTCCAGAGTGAATTCTCCCCAGACTCGAGACTGAAACCACCACAGTGTCCTGACTCCCCCACCTCCCGGTAGCCATCTGTGTGTGGTTCCCTTTACTGGGAGTCCCCAAGGATATGGCTGGTAGTGCCAACAATGTAACCGGGACAGGTAGGGCCACGTACTCTCCTAGGGAAGACCAGAACTAAAGAGAGGTTCGCTGCTAGGAGGGATTGAACCTTCTCTTCTAGGCCAGAAGCGGGTCCTCAGACAGAAGCCTGGTATGGAAAGGGGCACATGATTCGGATGCAAACTTGAGTGGAACCCGCTGCCATCCTCTCTGCTCCTCCCCTCACACACAGTGGGTCAGAGAGGTCCTGGTCCACAGCTCAGAACTGACAAACCCTGAGAAGTCCCACCAAACACTGTATCCCTACGAAAGCCAATGGTACTCAGCTAAGGCTACAGAATTTGCAGGATCCCAGAAGGAACCCAAGGCCTAGGACCATATGTTTTTGCAGTGATGGTGTCTCTGAAGGTCAAGGGGAAGGACACCGGCCCCACCATGAGAAGGCAGAAAGGGAGAAGACACCAGCCTGTTGAAGTGAGAGCAGCAGGTCAAGGAAGGTCCAGGTCATCATGAGAGGCCCCAGGCAGCTCAACCCAGCCCTCAATACGCACCCAGCTCCATGGAGCTTGGCAACCTCTCAGTTAATAAAAACAAGGCAATAACAGGCAAAACAAACACCACCACAGACAGCTCACCCTGTCCTTGCAGCTGACCGTGCTTTCCTTCCAGGGACAAAAAGCAAAGCTAAAACTCATGGAGCATCAAGGTCAGGACAGGGCCCTATGCTAAGATCTGTACCATCTCACCAAGGGCACACTGGCTTCATGAGGGGGGCAGTGTCATCGCTCTGTTTGATTCCATGAGAGAACCAACTCTGGATGTTGAATTAAGTACATGCTCAAGGTCAGGGCAGCCAGCGGGGTTGGGATTCCAACAGAGGGGTGAGGGTCCAAAGGCTATGGCCCTGACCCCCGCCTCCCGCCTGGCCCATAACACCAGCAACCTCCTGGAGGACGCAGTGGCCCCCACACATGCCAGCTGGGCAGGGGGGCTGACCCATCCCCTCCCACACACAGGCACTGGACCCTCCACAGAGGTCAGAGAATGGAGAGGCCCTCCCCACCCAGGTTACCGGAGGACCCAAGTGACAGATGACTTGTGCCCTGACCCCCAGCTCACGGCAGCACCAGCCAGTGTCACAGCACGAGGCGGGACCAAGCTTTTTCTCCTCTGCTCGAGGAGCACCGTTCTCTGGGCGATCCTCTGTCACACAGCTTTTCCCTGGACCTTGCCCGTTGTCCCTAATTCCAACTGCAGGGTCACAGCCAACAAATACTGATGGGAGACCTGCCAAGAGCTCAGGCCTAGGCAGGGGCTGAACAGATAAAGAGGCAAAGGTGAGGCCACTGGTCTGGGGCTCCTGGGGAATAAGACCGTGTACTGCAAGCTGAGTGCAGACGACTGTCTGGGCCCACAGGTCGCTCTGTGCTGGGCTCTGGGGAAGGCTTCTCAGAGGCGCTTGGGTCCCAGCCTCCCTCCGCACACATAACAGCTCCTGTGTCTCCCCACAGTCAGGGTCAAGGCTTCTTGTGTGGGCATTGGGGAACGTGATTAAAATGCAGGGGCTGAGGACCTCTTCTCCAGCAAGCCTGGGGCTCCAGGTGACTTGGCTACACACCCACATTTAAGAACCACATGGCCATCTGTGTGCAATCGATCCCCTGTAGTCACTTAGTCCTCAGTCTTGCTCGCCCTCAGCTGCCTCTGGGCTCCTGGCACTTGGTAAAGCTTTGAAAATCCCAAAAGCTAATCCTGCCCCTTGGGTCCCAGCATTGTAATACTGCCTATGCAGATAGCACGGCCAGCATTGCCCCTGTCTCTCAGTGGGGTCTGGCCTACCCCTCCACGTGTGTCTGGGACCACACCCAGGGGTCACTGGAAAGGAACCCTGAAGATCGGGGGCCTGTGGGTTCTTCTTAGCCTCTGCCCCTCAGCAACGTGTGCTGGTGGGAAGAGAATGGGTAGGGGGCAAAATGGGACAGAAAATGCTAGGTGAGAAATACTTCTGCCACTCAACTGATGAGTTATAAGGCGTGTGCATGTATAGTTATATGAAGTTTCATAAAGTTACATGGCTTTATGAAAAGTTACAAATTGAATTTTTATGACAAGTTCATAATTGAGTTAATCAGTCATGGTAGCCAGTCCCTGCCAGAAAAAGGACTGTTTCTATTACAGCCTCATAGTTGATTCCTAAGGGCCGAGGTGGCCAAGCAAGGCCCACCCTGAAAGGAAAAGAGAACCCATTTGGCAGAGAATCTGGAGAGAAGGGCAGCCTGGCAAGGAACCTCTGCCTTCCTGGCTGGTCCGCAGGTGAGAAGGCTGAGCAGGGAAGAGTGGAGAAGGTAGAGCAAGGGTCAGGAGAGAGGAGCGTCCTTCCTGGAGACCCGGAGGAGCAGAGCCTTCTCAGGATGGCTCAGCCACTGCCGGGCATCACAGGGGCATGATCTGGAGCTGGGAGGCTGAGCTGCTCTCCCCTTTTTGTTTGTGGGTCACATTTGAAACCCTGATTGCCAGACCTTGAGACCTCAATGGTAGCCATGGGCCAAGGCAGTCAAAGCAGGGCCTGCCGCCACAGGTATCTCAGTAGGAGGAAGAAGCTCTAACTACATTTGGCCCAGGGCTGCAAGGAGGTGAGTGGGCCAGGAGAAAACAAGGCGCCAGGCCAGGTCCACTGCCCTAGGTGGACACTAGATATGTAGCACACAGTTCTCTATCTACCACAGGACCCAACTCCCTCTGAGGAGCTTGGAGAAACACACACAGGCACACACACACTGCAGTTAGTGTATGCGGCACACTTGCATTCACATGCCAACACCAGCCGTTGCCTGCCCATGTGGACACACACACACACACACACACACACACACGCACACACTCACCTCCACAAAGAAGAGCGTTAAGATCTTGTTCCAGTATTTGGACTCCGTGAGGGCACTGTGAGTGGCCAGGTGACTGCCCTTGACAGTGAGTGTATAGTGGCACACACCCAAGATGGTGATGCCAACCGCGAAGACCAGGACATTATCAGAGCGCAGGCACAGGAACCCTGCAGGAGGAGGGGGGTCCAGGGAACAGAGTCTGTCTCCAGCTCTGGGAGATCTGGACCCAAACAGCCCGCTCCAGAATCCCCCAGGCCAAAGCGGGGCCTCCCCAGGCAGGAGTGGCACAGGTCCCTCTACACCTGAGTGGATGGGGAGGTTCTGGCTACAGGATTTGGGACAAAGCACAGCCCAATGGGCTTCCCAGTGAGACTCCAGTGGTCCTGATCTGTCTCCCCCTTGGGTCCCAACGCGGTGCAGAGATGGGTGCTGGTATGGGGATTCTGGTCAGCAAAGGTCCAGGGGAAACCTCCACGGCCCCTCCTCACTCCCCTCAGCCACCCTTGGTGTCCCCCATAGAACATTTCCCCCTTCCCAGGTCACCTCATCCCTCCCCAGCCCTCCGGGACTCCTCAGCTTTCCCCTGCACCACCTTCACGCCATCAGGCTCCCACCTCCAGCGCCCAGCTCCTCTGGGGACATGGCGGGGACGCCCCAAACCAGACTTCAGGTTTGAGATGTGTCCCTCAGTCCTGGGGTCCCGGGCACGGGAAACCCCCACCCCACCCTCAGTCCCTGCTCCCCTCCCTCCGCCGCATCCCACCCGCACCCGCACCCGCACCCGCAGCCTGTCTGTTCCTGTGTTCCGGTCCCCGTGTCCCTCACCGGCCGGCACGGCGAGGAGGCTGAGCGCCAGGATGGCGCAGTCCACGCCGCGGCGCTCCCACCACGAACTCGCCCTCACCACGTCCTTCACCAGCCCCTCCAGCTGGCCCAGCAGCTCCTCTGCCCTGCCGTCCTCCCGGCGCGCACGCGCCGGCTCCATGGGCTCCCTGCGCGGGTCCTGCCGCCCTCGAGGACCAGAGGACTCAGGGGGACGGGAGTGTGCCGCGCCAGCAGCGCCAGCTAGGCGGGGAGCGCGGGCAGGGGCGGGCCGGGGCGGAGTCTGCCCCCGGCTGGGCTGGGCTGGGCACACCGGGCGCCTAGCGTCGCGGTGCGGGGCTCCCCTGCGCCTCCGGGGGCGCGCAGTGACCTGGGCGCAGCCCGCGTGCCCGCTCCTGAACGGCGGCGGGCGGGTGACCCAGGGGCGAGAACCAGCCTGGGATAGAGGGGCCGAGGCTGGGGAGGGGGCAGAGACCCCAGTGGAGCCCCCTGAAGGCCCTCCCTGACCACCAACCTCAATGCCTCGTCTTCTCTTGGTCCCCTACTTGGATTTGTTGCCGTGTTCTTACCCCCAGACCCTATTTCTCCTAATTTCTTTTTTTTTTCTTTTTTTCTTTTTTTGGTACCGGGGTATCAAACTCGGGTCCTTGCTCAGGCTAGGATGGTGCTCAGTGGTAGAGTGCTTGCCTGGCATGCTCAAGGCCCTGGGTTCGATCCCGGGCAATAAATAAATAACTATATAGCCTCTCTCCAGGCCCCAGCTGCCACTCAAACATCTAAGTGGCACTGTAGGAAGGCAAAGTTTTGATCCCCCAGTACCACCAAAATATACAAAAGTAAAATAAGGCTGAGTGCCAGCCAGGAGCAGAGGAGCCAGGAGGCCCTTGTGGGGCAGGGCTGGCGGGTGGCCTCCTTGCAAAGAGGCAGGCTTGATACAGGATAGACTTAACCCTGTGGGAGAAGGGAGGGAATAGGGTATTCCTCGTCCGTCTGCAGGAGCAGAGTTGGGGAGATTGGTAGGAAAGGTGAGGGGAGGCAGGAGAGAAAGATAGGGAGCCGGGGCTGGAGGTTCCTCAAGTGGCAACTGGAAAAGTAGGGGCTTGCCCCTGAAGGCCTGGGGAGCCATAGCAGGTTTTAAAGCAAGGGAGTGACTTACGTATTAGGGTGCCTGTTTTTGAACTTCATAGAAATTGGACCATCCGGGAGGTGGGGATTTAGCTCTATGGCGCCCCCACCTGCCTCGAAAGCCCAAGGTCATGAGTTCCCCGGTACC